CGAACGGCGGCGGCAGAGCCGGGGCAGCGACAAGCCCGCCGAGGGAGCCCTCCCGCCTCAGCCCGTCTCCCCTCACAGGAAGCAGGTGCCTCTCCCCCACACCCCCTCCACCACAACCGCCACTCCTACCCCGGCGGCCACCCGCATGGTGCCGCCGCTCTTCCACAACTGGAGCCCCAACGCCGGGCGGGGGCCGCCATCCCCCGTTCGCCGGCCTCGCCCTTGCCCTTGACTGACACGGGCTTCATCCACTCAGATCCCCCCGGCCCGCCCAAGGGTCGGGGAGGGGAGGGGGACACACACCCCTCCCCTTCTGCCCTCCCTCCTTCCCGCCTTTCGCCAACGGCTCTCACCTGTGCGCGAGCGGGCTCCTGTCAGGGCGGCGGGCGGCGAAGCCCTCTCCGCCGTCCTCGGCAGCCCCTCGGGGTGAAACCAAGCCTCCCCTTCCATCTCCCCGTGTCCCTCCTTGTAGGTTGAGGGGAGGGAAAGGGCTCGGGCATACGGCTGGCGGTCGGTTTGGTGTCGTGGCGGACCCGCTGGCTGGCCCTGCTTGCTGGGTGGTGTGCTGAGGGAAGAGCGGGGCCGCGTTTTGGCGAGTCCCGGCTGGTTTTGCCTCATTTTTCTTCGCGGAGGCGGTGAGGGGTGTCTGGAGGCACCAAAAAAAAAAAAAAGGGGGGGGGATGTGTGCAAAAGTTCACATTTTGACTTTTGGTGATTGTTCTGATTCACAAGAAGGGTTGTTAAAAAACCAACTCTTTTAAATTTTTTTTCTAATTTTTTTTTTTCCCCATGGGAGGTGTGACAGCTGTCCAGCTCCAGCTGACACGTACCGTTCATATCACTGCTTTTCCTCAGCACCTGTGTGCTCCTGGGCTGTGATCAGGGTGTCAGCCCCTGGGGCCCACAGACAAAACCTGCTGCATGCAGAAGGACTCTTGAGAGAATTTAACTGCCCAAATCTAACAAAATCTCTGCCTAGCGTGTTGGGGGTTTTTTTTGTTTGTTTGTTTGTTTGGATGAGTTTTTAATAGGCTTGTATTCACTTACTGAAAGGACTGGATTATCTCTATGGAATTAAACGCTTTTCTTGGTTTTGCGCTAACCACATTGCCTTGGGGATATCCTAGTCTTGGGATTCACCACAAAGACTTTTTCATCACCTTTTATTGTCTTTAAGATTGAAAAGGACTAAGAGAAGAAAGTGAAGCTGGCCTCCAGCAACAAAAATTAGGATAGCATCTAAATTTCTTTTAAAATATGACGTGGATATAACTGAGTGTTAGAATACAACTATTTGTAAATTCTGCATAATTTTTCTGAGGAAGAAAACTGGCAGTTTTCATTATAACCAGCAGCAGGATTTCACCCGCCTTCTTCCGAAGTTTGCTATGCTGGTCAATGTCAGAAAAAGCATATTGAAGGAAATGAATGTATGAGTCAATCCCAAATAACAAGTCCTGCATTCCAAATAGAAGACACTGTATTTAATAAAAAAGTTCTTCTTAAATAAAAAGTTACCATCAAATTAGAAGGTACCTTTTTTTTTACCCCAAAGCTTTAAGAAAAAACAATCAAACTACGCTTTAATGCAAGTATCTGTAGTATCCCAATGTACCAGAAGCATATACATCTAAAAATAGTTGTAAGATATCTATATCCAGACCCCTCAAGTATTCTTAGTTCATGGGAGGGACTTCCAGATCACATAGGATGTATGCAATGTACAAGGCTACTTGGTTAAGAGATATATTTGGCTTCTGTTGAATAGTGTTCCTTCAAGCATGGCATTTTGGGGGAGGGGACAGCCCCAGAGCCCTTCTCCCATACTCTGACTCCACTATTTTTTAACTCTTACAGCTTGACAAGACCTTCTCTCATCTACCACAAGAGAAAATTCTTGTAAGACCTAAATATGGATGACTTTACCTTCTTTATTAAAAAAAAAAAAAAAAGAGGTTAATAGTTGGTTAGAGTTACTTGCATTTGCTACATAGAATGGGAGAGAATCTGTGGGGTTACACTGCAAACGTCTGCAGAGAAGCAGGAGGAACGAGTCAAGTGTGTGAGCTTCACATTTGAATTTGTGAGGCTTGAATATATATATTTATAGGCTCCTTGAAAGATGATCTGGAGACACCTCCTGAGTAAGCAGGAAATAAAAAATACTCAGGTGGTAATCCAACATCTACATACTTGGAAACTGTCCCAAGATAATCACACAAAATCAGAGAACTCTGACTCCAAGACAGAGTAGGGTGTTGGCAACATGATAAAAATCACAGGGGGCTGTAAAAACTTAATCTCAGTGAAATGACTAAAATCGCCTTTGATACTAGGTAATCACACACAGCGTTATCTCCTGTGGAAATTACACCACCCTTTAATGTAGCCAGCATAGTCATGGTTAAATGAGAGCATTACTGTATTTAGGAATGTTCAAAATGATAGATTGTTTCCATGCCAGGTGCTTGCAAGTTAGGACAAGTCAGCCTGTTTGGCAATATTTGAGTTACATGTGACAGAATTAATTTTATTTTTTTTTTCCCAGCCTGCACAAAACTCAGCGATACCTGTTGCTCTTGAATAACTTTTCAGAAGGTCAGTTTGATCCAACCTGGGAAACAACACTCTGGTATACGCAGTTGTGGTAAAAGTCAGTACCAAAGACCAAATCTTGTATGAAATTAAGTCAGCAGTAAATCTCCCATTGGCATCAGTAGTTCAAAATCAGGAAGTATGTGTCTGAAATTGCTTGCAGTTGCTGTTCTCAGCACTGCAGTGGACAATGACCCCTATAAGGAAGTGAGATAAACAAAGTCCTATTGCTGTAAAAAGCATTAATTGTTCTCTCAGTGTCATTCCGGATCGTCTATTCAAAAGTATTCAACAAGTAACTATTAAAGCTAGCACCTGAGCGTGGGGTTTGCAGGGGAAAAAAATGCAGGTTTGGAAGTGACATCCGCACCCGTGGACCTCGGCAGAGAGTTGCGGGGTGGAGGAATGCTGTGAGTAGCTGCGTTGCCCTCTAGTGACAGGTAAAGAAAATCCTGTCACAGGCAACAGGTACGAAAAACTCTTCCTGACGCAATAGTTAGGTAGCACGGTAAGACTGGCACTTCACACGCAGTTAAGATGGGTCTCAGCAGTAAAAAGATCTGGAAGCTTTTGTGATTTTGGAGAGCCATTCACAGAGGCAATCTTGGAATCTGAAATCTTACTTAGTGTTTTGTCATCTTTTGTGCAGGATTTCTGCACTTTCCAAAGATTAGCAAGAAAAAATGAGTGCCCCACATTATAACTGAAGCTTCAAAATATTTTTAGTGAGAAATACAAAGAGGACACTTACAAGGATTAAACTTTTTAAGGATCACCGCTGCTATTAAAACTTGATCATTTGAAATCATGTCCTAGGCATACAGGCTACAGCTTCATGTTCTTTTCCTCAGTCTAACACCAAGGACCTGACAATCAGATTTCTGGTGTGGGAAAAACACGGGATAAAGGCCTTCTCAAGTGAGATGGACCAGACAAGTGAGTCCAGTACAAGTGACGACACAGATGTGTGAATTTGATAGGACAGCACAGTCCTGGATTAGCGTAAACCCCGATACCAATCACCTGAATAAATGGCAATGAAGCCATTCTGGTGTATAATACCACGCTGATTAATTAACAGGCTGATATTAGTATGGCGAAAGACAGATTCCCTGCGTGAAAGAGCACAAAAGCACCAGAAATCGCTCAAGCATTCACCACCTTACTAGTTGTCTCTACCACGCAGGCAATTCTCAGCTGAGGCTTGCGTATTCGGTTCATAAATCTCCTCACCTCCATCCCAGCACAAGGATTACCCCTGGAGAAGAAAGGGATGCCCTGCTGTGTCTGGTAATCTGCAATTAGAAAAAGATCCTGAGGGGGACTATTAGCAGCTAGTATAGTTTAAAGCTGTCCAGACATGCACTGAATTAGCTGGAGAATCTGGAACCACAACTAGCTGCCTGACAAGCCTCGTGCTCATGCCATCTTGCAAACAGCAAAATCTGCATGCAGCAGAGATTCTGAGCTACCGTATGACAACACGTTGTCATGTGCCATGGTGGAACAGGTCAGTTCTGCTCCACAGGGGTTTGGAGCATGGGAACATGATCTTGTTCAAGACAAATGTCTTGAGTGTTGTGTGTTGGGTATTGTAATACAATTGTAAAATGTTTTGGTTCTATCTTTCTCCTCTTAAATTGGCTTACACTTGCCCTTTCAGCAGTTCACACAGAATTAGATGTAATTTGAAAATAAACTATCCTTGGAATGGCAGAACTTAATTTTGCACCTGTGGCATAATGGGTCCCTAGGTAAGTAAGAGCACAGGACTAAGAATGGAGAAAGCCAGAAAGGTCTGATGGAAAGGTCAGTGGGATGGGGACCGATGGATTTCAGGGAAGTAAATGGGAAGAAGGAAGATGAGGAATGTCCCTAGAGGTCTTGAGGAGGTGGGAGGACTGGAGCCTGGGGAGAAGGGGCTGGAAGGTGGAAGGGTTACAGATACCGTTGTTGGGAAAAAGCAATTGAGAGGACTGGGGAGTGTGTGGGGGTGTCATATGGAAAAGGACTGAGAGTAGTATTTCTGCTCACTAACATCTCGCTAATCTGACCCCAGGATAATAAAATTTGAGGCATTTAAGATGTTGACATAGCATCTTGTCAGGTCTGCTAATTTGTATATGAAATGCATTGCGGTTAATACCATGGAAATTACAGAGATTCTTCACAGCTGATTTCTTGTTGATATTAAGCAATACTTCTGAGTAATCTGAAATTTGTCCTAAGAATTGGACTCATCTCAGCTTTCAACATTGGGAAAATTAGTCAAGCTTTGGAATAGCATTTCGCCATTTTTGCTAATTACCTTCAGATCAAAATATCTTCCTAATTGCCATTGTCAAGAACAATGCAACACTCTTACTCACAATGATGGCTAGTCTGTCTCCTTAAACAAAAGTCCTCCAGGCCACTTAACATATCTGTTTCAAGTAAACAATGGTGCCATTTCCTGAACAAGAAATTAAGACATTTTTGGAAAACTTCATTGTGTAATAAAACAATCCTCTATTTCTCTGCACTGATTTATACATAATGGGCTTCTACATAGACAACCA